GAATCGAAAGTTGCCCAACTGACATCATCATTTAACTTCTTTGCTCTGATATGGGGTGTAAAATCAGATGTTGCGGCATTGGATAGTTTGTGTCTGTTGTTTGGATGATGTTTGTTGGACCATTTTTGGTTCAAGTTAGACTAATAGTAGTTGTAAACACGTCTCATCTTTACATTTGCCAGCACTGCTACAGCTTTAGTCATTTACATTTATATGTGATTATTATTATTATTACAATTATTATTATTATTATTATTATTATTATAGTTTCTGGATCTTGTGGAAAATATTTGTGTGAAATTAGTCATATTTTAGTTTAAATTGTTTTGATTTTTGCACAGATTCACATATTAGTGATAAGCAGGCCCAGGAACATTTTAATCCAGAAGGCATCAGTGGTTAATACTGTAAAAGTTAAATAATTTGTCTAGGTCTCCACCCAGTCCATTTTAGTTACATATTGAGGCTATTTTATTTAAACAGTGGGTTCAAGAGATTATGTCTTACTTTGAAGTGAAATATTAATGGAAATTTGCCATTTATCCTATGTTGAATGAGGTCAAGGGTCAGTTAGGAGATTCTGAGAGTACAGTATTTGTTAAAGGATGATTTACATTTAAATCTATTCAAATTGCCAGTGTCTGAATTGCCAATGTTGATGTACTTATATAACTCTTTTGATAACAGTGCCCAGGCAGCAGTTTTCAATTATTTTTTGTCTTTTGGTGAACATAATGTATTGAGCAAAAAGTATACACCAATCAAAATAATCGTGTATAATTTTATGAACAATATCTTTCAAAGGGATTTAAATGGTTTAGACATATAAATGCATTAGCATTGCCAGTGTGTTTCAACTTTCTTTCCTTATTTATGCAGGGAAGAAGAGGCAGACGTGGACGACAGGGAATGAAAGGAAGTAAAGGAGAACAGGTGAGCCCCACGACTGCACACAAACCACACTGTTTCTGTCACTGTTGAAGACTGCACCACGGTTCTTGCTCTTCTCACAGCTTTGGCTTGGTGGCAACAGTATAACTTTTATTATAACACTGTCATGCTCTCTCTTTCTCTTTCTCTCTCTCCTTTTCATTTAGTCTATTGGAGGCCAGTTTTGTTCGACATTAATGACTTATTACTTATTGATGATATTATGTAAACGTCGAATAGATATATTAAACATTTACTCAAGACTGGATTATTAATAAGTTACTAATTTTTGTGAAACTGGCCTCCATCAATTTTTTTGGATGACCCTAAATTCCACAGAGAATGTACAGAGCAAACCACTTTTCCTTCTCGTGCATTTTAAACCCATCAACCTCTGTGAAGGGTTGGGCTCCTGTAATTAGTCACTCTTTCTTGGACAATTTATCATAGTGTAAATAAATTTAGGCCATTAAATCAGACCCAGATTCACTTTCATCTACAAAATTGATATATTTTGTGCAAACAGTGGGCAGTAACACGTCATGTTTAATGTATTCCTGGTTTGAAATAAAGTTGTCTTTTTTTTTTTTTTTTTTTTTTTTTTGCATTTTAAGTGCAGAGAATTGGTTCTGAAAATATGTTATTTGTGAAAAGACTTAACCAGGCCACTGATATGATTGAAAACAAATAGAGATTTTCACTTATTGAACTTGTTTTTCTTTTTACTGGTTAACTGGCCATAACAATATACCAGTTAATCTTATTTTACTAAACCAACAAAATATTATTCTCTCCTATCAGCATAATATATATGTCTTAAAACTATATTTAAAACCAATCAATGTATAACAGCCATTAGCATAGTAGTAATGGTGGCAGTATGGGAGGCTCTTTTCTCTTCCTGTGTCTGACTTTGCTGTGCTTGCTTTGGGTATCAGGGCGCCCCTGGTCTGGATGCCCCGTGTCCTATTGGAGAGGATGGTTTGCCATTACCAGGGTGTAGTTGGAGACCACAGCAGGTAAACTGAGGGAACAAAATGTATGCAAACAGAGCTCTGAAAAAAATCTTTGAGGCTGTATTTTTTTTTCTTTTGCAAATCTCGAGTATTATGGGAAGGGGTGCATTTGTGTTTCATTGTAGAGTAACAGCAGCAGTTACCTGTAGTAGTTGTAGTATAATGCATTTTGTGTTTATGGATAATAGAATCTTATGTTGTGCTGAGAATGTTTTGAAACGGCAACATGAAATTCCTGAAAATTGCTGAGCTCTGTCTGTTTTGTTTTTCTCATTTTTAAATACTAGTTTTTTTGCTGCATGGCTTGCACCATTTCATTTCCATATCTACTTCCTAACAGCAGCATGAAACTATTTTATATCTTTTTCTTTGCTGTTTGTATTCAGTTTGATGACTTAGATGTTGAAATTGAGTTCCGTAACCTAATGACTGATCTGTCATCCTGATTTTTGTTCTTTTTTTTTTAAAGAAATGTTAATTTGGTTTCAAACATGTTTCCATGAAACACACTTATTCTGTTATAGTATTAAAATATTTTGAACTACTAATACATTTTGCATGATAAGATTTTTCATGTATAACAGGGTGTACCTGGCTTTGACACGCCTTGTGCATATTCTTTGGACGGAAATAAGGTGATGACACTGTATGACCTGTGTCAAGATGTCCAAGATGTAAAGCCAGCCCCTTTGACTTAGAGAAAATGCATGTTGAATGATATTGGAAAAAGGAGTAAGGATCTTACACTCACAGATTGTAGAGAGCTTCATATTCATAATTCTGTTACTTGCTGAATGTTTTGTTTTGATAGAGCATGGCAAAACCCCCTTAAACATACTGCTTTGTTTTCTTTTTGCATGTATATTTTATGTTTGATGTTTTTCATTATCAAACTTATTTAATATCTATTCTTTATCCTGTTCATAATGGAATGGACCCCTGTGAAATGATTATATATCCTGTGTTCTCAGTGTTTAAACTAAATCAATGAACAGAGTTGTCAGCGTGACAGTAGATCTATTGTCTAACATTTTCTTAACAAAAGAATAACACTTGTAAATAATGGTATTCCATCCTAATAATGCATAGAATGTTTGCAAATACATAGAGTTGGCAACCGTAAAATCCCTCCTAACACAAAGGGTATTGCAATGTCAGTAATTTTGATCTGTTTATCACTAACAGGGAGCTGCACCACTAGGAACTTTAACAATAGCAGAAATGGAGACCATAGACAAGCAGAGGCAAAGGCGACTACAAAAAAATTCTTAGCCCTAAGTGTGATATGACATCTATTGTACATAGAGAAACCTGTGTAAAGTGATATGTACATACTCAGGCTGTATGGTAGAAAATTATATTGAATGAGATGAACGGGTCTGGGGACCCCCGTGTGGGAAACCTGACAAATCACACTCCTGTATCTTTATTTATTGCTTCAAAGATGCATCAAAAGGACTGAATCTATGATGAACCTGTGGGTCACAAAAATATATATTGTGACTCATAATTAATAATTACAGTTTATTTTACCTGTAATCAACCATTAATTGCACTATTTGAGTGCTCTCACACTCTTTGATTTTATTCTATTAAATGTATCTGATATAAGAATCTTTCTGGCATTCACTGTTGTGATGCATTTATGTTAGTGATTGTCAGTTGTCTGTTTGATTACAGAGCCTTCTTCCATTTTGACAAAGGTGATCAAAAAGTGTTCTGTAAGGTACTTTGCAAGTGGAGCTAGTAGTTGGAAAAGGTCTCTGTGATTGGCTACATGGCACACATTATCTCTATTTCAGATACTCTGTAAATATATTGTATTTCATACATTGATTGGACGTGTATTTAAGATAAAGTGAAAGTGAACACCTAGTGGCTTTGTAAATTTTTGGTCGTTCATATAAGTCAGCATTTGGTGATATGTGGCATTTGGGCTGCTAATAAACATGTGCCCTGTATTAACTTGACCCAGATCTTTACATTATGTCTTATGAACATTTTAAATTCAAGTTATGTTAGAACTAGAGAAATAGTCCTATTAGATTTCATTAAATTTTAAAGTGATTTCTTTTTAACATTGTATTACATTATATCTTCAAATATTGTATTGCTTTCATTTATTGTCAGTGTTACTCATTGGTTGACATGGCATTATATTGCATATTATTTGTATATTTATTGTTTGCTTATTACAAAGTATTTTACAAGACCAAAAAAAGTTGTATTGCTTTATTTTCATGGATTCAGACCACTCTGTGCTTGCCAACAATCAATTGTTTGAATATATGGAAACACATTTATTCTGTTTAACCTCAATAATCCAAAAGATATTTAATTTAATTCTGGCATATTGGATGTAATTACGGCTTGTCCAGTCTGTTTGGTAAGTGGGGATGTGTATATAAAATATGTGTTTAAACTTAGTTATGTATTTTGTAAGGAGATTGTTTATAGTCATCAGAGTAGTCAATGTAACCTGCTATTATTATATTGGTAGGTTAAAAAAATTCTAATTCAACAAGATCTGAGATAATGTGTGACCAATTTGCATTGCATTTTTTTAATACTTCACAAAATGTCAGTAATTCCTTCAGGGTGGAATATGGTGTATATTTTATCCCTCTTTCAAAAATACATATAGTTTTTGTTGCACAAACTGCGAAAGATCAGAATGGTGTTCAGAAAAGGTGATTTATATTTAGTGTGGAGGCAAACATAACTATAGTCAATCATGATATTTCTTTTGACTTGTATGAATTGAAACAGATATTCACATATATTCTAATCGTTTTCCTTCTACTTTGTACCTAGATAATGTATCATATTTCACTTCATTTTCTCATTTATTGGATTTACAAGAATAAATATGTTATTGGGTACGGTTAGTGGCAACATTCTGTTAAAACAATGGTATGCTACGTTGTAATTCTAACATATTACATCTCTCACTAAAATATTCTTTATTGCATTTGTTATTTAGATGTATCAGCTTTACACAATACACAGTAAATTTCTGTTCTTAATTAATTGAATATCAAGTCACTTTAAGAGTTAGCTCCTTAGCAGGCAAAGGTTGAATGTAGTTACTTTCTTTGAATCATTGAAGTCAAACCTTGCAGTACATGTTTACAAAGTAGTAGTGAATTTCACTTGTTATTTTCTCAATTCTGTTTGTATATATCTATTAATCTTTAGAATAAAAAAGGATATTATATGAAATATCTGTTCACTGTATTATTGACATCTTCGGGAAATGATCAATTTTAGACACTCAAAAGTAAGACACATTCCATATCCTGTTATTGTTGGTGAGCACATGAGAACCTGGCAATTTCTTGTAAAAAAAAGTTTACAAACTCAGAACATTAGATGTAAATATAACACAAGCAACAAAGTAAGATAAGGGTCCACTTTAAACTATCGATTCCTCTAATGCATTTGGCAATGGCTTCAGCTGAGATGGAAGAAATTCGAATTTAGAAATATTTAAATGTGCCTGATACACTACACACTTTGGAAGCTCCAGTGAGTTTGTGGCAGCACCTTTTCCTCTTCTTGACAATCCTTCGCGGCTACGGCACGGCCTTTCACTCAATGGGAACAAGTCTAGAGCATAAGAATTTTTTATAAGTGGGGGTTTTAAACCATTCAGAACAAATGGGAGGGTATCGCTACCTGATTTTATGACACGTGGCTACAAAAAGATTGGTAACCCCCCCCCACCCCCCACACCCAACCCACCCCCCCCCCCCCCCA